CACAGGGTTCTCAGTGGATGATTTTTCATAAGTAGATCCCATTTATGGTGCCCCCGTGTGTGTCAGAGTAGAACTGTGCTCCACGGGCTGATTTTTGGAAGTAACTCACTAGACCTTTTTTCTGAGACTCCTCTGCGTGACTCACACCTCCTAGTACTCGGTTAGCAGCACTAACTTTACACCTATGTTTACTGATGAGTCCGCAGCAGTATCTGCTGGCACTCCCCCACGGCCCTCACTACACGACAACTGTATTCACGTTCTTTCTGTTTCTTGATGCCCAAGTCAATCTCCTTCTGGGTCTCAGCTCAGCTGTTACCTCTGCCTGGACTGCCCTCCCCTGCATCCTCACACGTCTGCCTTCCTCCCTCTGTCAGTTCCAACTCACAGCAAGCCCCATATAGGGTTTCCAAGGCTGTCCATCTTTACCAGCGCTTTCTCCTGAGGACTGGCTGGTGGGTTTGAGTAACCAACCCAATGCCCAAGCCGCTGTGCAGGGCTTGTTTTTTTCCAATACAGCACCTCCTTAAAAAGACCATTGATCGCTTAGTTGGCGTTGAACCTCGGCCACCACCAGCAGTGTGGCTGGTCTTCGTCGATCCAAACTGCTCGTTACCTTCTCACAGGAAGTGCTGAGATGGTCCCAAAGACACACTCCCGAGGCCTGAGAGAAGACTCACTACTAACAGAATCTGGGGCAGCAGCCCCCCACCCTCTGCCCATGTCTGTTCTGGGGGGTCAGGGCCCTGCTGACAGAGCCTCCCAGGAATCCTGGTGGTGCTGTGCATTAGGCGCTGAGCTGCTGGCCTTAAGGTCAACGGTTCAAACCCACCTGCTGTTCTTAAGCCGAAAGATCAGGCTTCCTGTCCCCGCAAATAGAGATTGAAAGTCTCGGAAACTCTCTATGGGGTCACTGAACCGGAACAGAGTGAAAGGTGGTGGTGGTGAAAGGTGAAAGGTGAAAGGTGGTGGTCTCCATAGTGGAAAATGGGGCCATTTATGGAAAATGGGATCAAAGGAGAATGGATTCTTCCACATACTTTTTTGAAGTCCCCATCTATCAATCTATCTAGGAATCCCGGTGCGGCGCTGTAGGATAAGCACTGGATTGCTAATCACAAGGTCAGGGTTCAAATCCACCAGTCACTCCTCAGAAATCCTATCTATACAGAGTTGCTATGAGTAGGACCCGACTCAGCAACACTGAACAATAATGACATATATGTGGTGGTGGTGTGGGTTAGGTGGTGTTGGACTGCTAACCACAAGGTGGGTTCTAACCCACTAGCTGGGACGGACCATCTGGAAACCCTGTACAGGAGGTCACTGCATCATTGCACGTGATGGCAGTAGGTCCGGGTCTGGGTTCGGGCCACAGTCTCCAGCCCTCTGGAACGTGACAGGAGAAGAAGATCTGGATGCATGGCTCTCCCTATTCTATTGAAAAGAAAAGAATTCACTGACTCATCCCTGTCTACTTTTCAGTTTTTCATTTTGTAAGACACAGCCCCTGTAGCATCAATGAGCTCAAAGCTAACAAGCATTGTGAGGCTGGTGGTGCCTCGTTCTGCTGTGCGCAGGGTCTCTAGGAGGCTGAACTGACTTGGCGCCACCTAACAATAAGAAGACAGGGGTCCCGGTGAAAACTGTCTGAATCCATTGCTGTCCTGTGATCTCTGTCTCACGGAGACTCCCTGTAAGACAGACTAGAAGGGCCCCGCTGGGTTTTCTCGGCCGTAATCACGCCAGACACAGACTGCCAAGTCTTTCTTCTCAGGCAGCACTGGGTAAATTCGAACCGCTAACCTTCCAGTTAGTAGTTGAGTTGTAAACCGTTTGTGCCACCAGGGGACCTTTCAGTGTCTGTGAGGGGACTTCAAAAAGTTCATGGCAAAAATGGGATGAGAAGAAGATGGAGTTTTTCTGCAGACTTTCCAAAGCTCCCTCGTATTTTTAGAGATGGTTTTGAATCGATTTGTGAAAACACTGGTTAAGTAGTCTGTTCATCTTGAACACTTTTCTGACACTGGACCCTGTAGGAAATGACACCTGTCTACAAGGAGCTTACGGTCACTGAGGCAGAAAAGCAACTTAAAACAGCAAGCCCGGCTGGAAAGTGCTGGAAACGAGAGGCCGTGTGAGCCGTGTGATTAAGGACGCGTCCTCGTGAGGACAGGCACGTGCAGACAAAGAAGCTGATGAGCATCCCATGAGCCCTCACTCCAGTTCTGATTTACGTGGCCAAGGTCAGTTGACTAGCCATGGACACAGCCCTGGGAAAACACCAAGTGCATGAAAAGGTTGCTTACCTGGAAAATTCCAAGACATTGAGAATTTCAAACGTGAAATACTCTTTCATCTGCAGGAAGAGAAAACAACATTTTTTTTTTAACCTGGGGGAGTAATAAAAAGTGTTCATCTGGCAAAATCACTACCCAAGAGCAATCACAAACCCACGTGGCCCTCTGAGGCCACATCTTTTCCAGAATACACCTTCTCCTATGGGTCTGATGTGGCGATGGTGGTCTCTACCCCACCGGCAGCAGCCGAATGCTTCAGACACAGCCCATTCTAGACCTCGACAAGTGTTTCCATCTAAATCTGGCGCCGTTGGAAGCAGTCCATAAACACTCTCAGGTGGAGATGATGGTGGTGGTTAAGTGCCGTGGCGTCCATTCCAACTTATAACAACCCTGGATAGGGTTTCCAAAGCTCAGTTGGTGGGTTTGAACTGCCGACCTTGTGGTTTGCAGTCCAGTGCTGATCCTACAGCGCCACACCGGGAGTCCCAGGTCACGGAGGTGTACGTAATGTACAGACCAGTCAGCAGGCAGCAGAGGAAGTACAAATAAGACAGAACCCGTGAAGCTTAGCTCATCGGATGAGAGAAACATGAGCAGAGATGATGTGCTATAAAACTTTGTGGCGATGGTTAATATTCCTGAGGGCTTCAGTGTACATCAAAAAAAAAACAAAAAACAAAAAAAAACCCCAAAACAGAGGGAATAGAAGCAAATGCTGTTGAATGATGATGCATGGAAGGGATTGTAATCAATGCAGTGAAACAAAATACGATAGGATGAGTGTAAAGCTGATGTTCTCCCATGTAAACTATCACTCCATTCAAAATAAAAACTGAAAGAAACAACTGCGTCGCAGTGAAACATGCATTCCTGGATAAATGTTCCCAGTTACAGGGTCTTGGCCTCCTGGTGCTAGCCTAGGGCATCCAACCCCATGTATAGCAGAACGAAAGCCCGGGCCTGTATCATCCTCACAACTGTAGGTATGTTGGAGCCTGCTACTGACTACCTGTTGTTGCTATTGTTGTTAAGTGTTGTCGAGTCGGTTCTGACTTATAGCGACCCTGTACTGGGTTCCCAAGGAGCAGCTGGTGGGTTTGAAGGACTGACCTTGTGGTTCACAGTCCACTGGTGGTCCTGCAGCGCCACACCATGGGTCCATGTTTAGCCTAGAAACCTTAGGCCCTTCCAGACCAAAATTAAACCTACTGCCATGGAGTCTGTTCTAACTCCTCATGAGCCTACACACAGTTTCTGAGATGGTAAATCTTTATGGGAACAGACAGCCTCATCTTTCTCCTCTGGAGCAACTGGTAGGTTCCAATGGCCCACCTTGCAGTTAGCAGCCTAATGTTTAACTCACGATACCACCTACATATAACTTACTGCTGTATGGTCAAATGAAATCAAGTCAGTCCCAACTCATAGCGAGCCCATGCACAACAGAATGAAACACTGCCTGGTCCCGTGCCATCCTCACAACTGTTGTTAAGTTTGAGCCCGTTGCTCCTGTCACTGTGCCAGTCTAACTCACTGGGATCTCCTGTTTCTCCCTGACTCTCCACAAAACATGGTGGTCTTCTTCAGGGGCTGGTCCCTCCTGATAATATGACTGAAGAAAAGAAAATGAAGTTTTACTATCCTGACTTCTAAGGAGTATTCTGGCTGTACTTCTTCAAACACAAATGTGTTTGGTCTTCTGGCAGTCCATGGTACTTTCAATATTCTTCGCCAACACAATCATTCAAATGCATAAATTCTTCTTCAGTCTTCCTTATTTATTGTCCAACTTTCACATACTTATTGAAAACACCATGTCTTGGGTCAGGTGTACCTTAGTCCTCAGACTAACATCTTTGCTCTTCAACACTTTAAAGGGATCTTGGGCAGCCCAATATAATGCACCATGTGATTTTCTGACTGCTGATTCCATGATTGTGGATCCAAGCAAAATGAAGACTGTTGTCTGTGATCTTCATCACCAGTAAGTATTTTAAGTCCTCTTCACTTGAAGCAAGCAAGGTTGTATCATCACCATATCCCAGATTGTTAATAAATCTTCCAATCCTGATGCCACATTCTTCATCATATAATCCAGAATCTCAGATTATTTGCTCAGTTTAAGGACTGAATAAATCTGGTGAAAGGATACAACCCTGGTGCACACTTTCTCTGCTTTGGAACCATTCAGTATCCCCTTGTTCTGCTCTAACAACTGCCTCTTGGTCTATGTACAGGTTCCTCTTGAGCACAATCAAGTATCTGGAATACGCATTCTTCATAATGTTATCCACACAGGTGAAAATCTTTGCATAGTCAATAAAGCACAAGGAAACATCTTCCTGGTATTCTCTGCTTTCAGCCAAGATCCATCTGACGTCAGCAATGATATTGCTAGTTTCACATTCTCTTCTGAATCCAGCTTGAATTTCAGGCAGTTTAGAATTATCTTCAGCAAAATTTTACTTTCATGTGATATTAATGATACTGGTGATGATTTCTGCATTTAGAACTTTTCCAACTGGTTGTTAGATAGCTGTCTTTCAAATTCCTTGGATTAGCTGAGTTAGTAAGTACCTCCAGTGCTGCATTAGTTTGTTGAAAGACTTCAATTTGTATTCGATCAACTCCTGGAGTCTTGTGTTTTGACAATGCCTTCAGTGCACCTTGGACTTCTTTCTTCAGTGCCATCAGTTCTGATCATATTGTTGTTGTTGTTAGGTGCCATCGAGTCGGAACCGACTCATAGCAACCTTATGCACAGCAGAAGGAAACAATGTCCGATCCTGGGCCAAACTTACTACTGTTGCCACACTTGAGTTCATCAATGCTGCCACCCGACCAGTCCATCTTGCTCGGGGTCTTCCTCTTTTTCTCTGACCCTCCACATTACCAAACATGATATCCTTCTCCAGCGACTGTTCCCTCCTGACAATATGTCCAAAGTATGAGAGATGAAGTTTAGCCATCTTGGCCTCTAAGGAGCACTCTGGCTGCACTTCTTCCAAAACAGATCTATTGGTTCTTTTGGCAGCCCTTGGCACCTTTAGTATTCTCCTCCAACACCATAACTCAAAGGCATCAATTCTTCTATGGTCTTCCTTATTCACTGTCCAGTTTTCGCATCCATATGAGGTTATTGAAAATACCACGGCTTGGGTCAGGCGCACCTTAGTCCTCAAGCTGACATCATATGCTACCCTCTTAAAATGGTTGAAAATCAACCATTTCTTTTTGGTACAGTGACCCTATGTATTCCTTCCATCTTCTGTTGATGCTTTCTGCATCATTCAATCATTTGCCCAGAGAATCCTTCAATGATACAAGTCGGGGCTTGAGTCTTTTCTTCAGTTCTTTCAGCTTGAGGAATTCCGAATGTGCTCTTCCCTTTTGGTCTTCTAACTCCACACCTTTTCACAATTAATTATAATACTTGACTTTATCTTCATCTCTTCCATTCACCTTAGTTCTCTCCACTCAAGAGCAAGTTTCAGCAGCTCTTCTCACAGATACTTTGGTCTTGTCTTTCTTCCTTGTCTTTTTAATGATCCTTTGGCTTTCCTCATGTATGATGTTCTTGATGTCATCCAACAACTCTTCCAATCTTCAGTCATTAGTGTCTATCCAAAGCATCAAATTTGTTCCTGAGATGGTATCTCTATTCAGGTATAATATACTCTAAATTCAGGTATAATATACTCTCAAGATCAGATTTTTACTCTCATGGACTTGTTTTCATTTTCTTCAGCTTCAGCCCGAACTTGCATATGAGCAACTGATTGTTCCACAATCTTCCCCTGGCCTTGTTTTGATTGATGACATTGAGCTTGTCCACCTTCTCTTCCCATAGATGTAGATAAGTTGATCCTATGCATTCCATCTGATGAGGTCCAGGTGTATAATCATTCTTTAAAAAGGTATTTGCAATGAAGAAAGCTGTTGGTTTTGCAAAATTCTATCAGACAATCTCCAGCATCATTTCTATCACCAACGCCAAATTTTTCAACTACTTATCCTTCCTCTTCGTCTCCAACTTTTGCATTCCAATCATCAGCAATTATCAATACATCTTAGTTGGATCTATTTCAGATTGGTAGAAATTTTCAGTTTCATCATCATTGGCTTTAGTGGTTAGTGTGTAAATTTGGAAATAGTGGTATTAACTGGTCTTCCTTAAAGGCATATGGATATTATCCTATTACCGACAGCATTGTACTTCTTCAAGATACCTTTTGTAAAAAAATTTTTATGATGAATGTGACACCGTTCCTCTTCAATTTGATGTTCCCGACATAGTAAACCCTATGACTGTCAGATTCAAATGGCCAATGCCCATCCATTTCAGCTCACAAGTGCCTAGGATATCAATCTTTATGTGCTCCGTATCCTTTTTGAACTTGCAACTTTCCTGGATTCATACTTCATATGTTCCATGTTCCGATTATTAATGGATATTTGCACTTGTTTCTTTGCATTTTGAGTTGTAGCCATCAGTAGATGAAGGTCCCGAAGCTTTGTTCTAGTCACGTGATCATGGTCAACTCCACTTTGAGGAGGCAGCTCTTCCCCAGTAATAGTCTGAGTGCCTTCCAAGCCGAGGGGCTCATCTGCCAGCTCTATATCTGCTGCTATTCATAAGATTTTTAGTGACTAACCATTCAGAAGTGGTCTACCTCCCTTCTTCCCAATCTGTCTTAGGGTCTGCCACAGGGGACCCTGCTGGTATTTAAGATACTGGTGGCATATCTTCCAGCGTCACTGCAACACACAAGCCACTACAGTAGGACACACTGAACAAATTTCCCAGAGAAGTGAAGTAATGCACTCAGCATAATGGCAGGAAGTTGTGAGGCCAAGACTGACTACTAGGCACTGTGGCCCCAAACTTCAGAGTCTGAATCAGTGTGCCACGGGCTCGACCAGAAGAGCCTACAGATGTAAAATGTGGAACCATGTACAACTTCCTGGTGGCACAGCTTCCCACGTCACAGCAACCCACACTGAGCACATTTCACATTTCAACAACCTACTCACAGCTCTGATGGTGACTGAGTACGGTGTCCTTGCTGTGAAAACAAAGCCGAGTTTTTTCGCTCCTTTCACTAAAGCCGCTTCATCTGTGAACAGAAAGTCCATATTAGTAGGAACCAAGGCAACGCATCAATATTGGATCTACCGTGATACGAGTCCAAGTTCTCTGACTCTAAAAGTATGGCATTTACATGAAGAGGGCTTCAAAAGGTTCAGGGGAAAGTTCCATTATCTTTCTTTCTTTTTTATTTTTATTTTACTTTTTTATTGCAAATTGGGTGAAGGCTTATAAACCTGATCAGTTTGACATTCAACAACTCAGACACATTTTGTGCCATGTCATTGACTACAGTCCCCACTGTGTTTCCTGTTTCCATTCGCCCTCCTTTCCCTCACCCTTCTGAACTTGGTCCTGGGGCAATGATGCCCTTGCGATCTCACGTAGTTCCTGCTTCTCAGGAGTAAGCACCTCCTTAGTGTTAGGGTTTTCCTCATCTTTTCATTCCATTCCCCCCTGAACTTTCTAATGTCCTCTTGTAAACCGGACTCTTTTTTCATTGGCATGCACAGATCTGCATCTCTGGATATCATTTGGGGTACAGGGAAGTGAACTTTGGTTCAGTGGGCCTCTCGCAGAAGAGCCCCGTGAACTCCCCAGACTGAACTGCAATGCTTTCTTCCTACTCATCTTTTGGGTCATGCTTGTCTGTAAGGCCAGTAGCGTGTTCATGAAATGAAGGGTCTTTGTTGTATCTCTGTGTTGGCCCTGATTAACAATGGAACCTGCTGACGGGACCCAAGTGCCCTCCCTGGTCCCCTCGGGGCTGTAGAGAGGTTTGCAGGCATTGCTTGTGGAATGAACTGATCTAAAGACCACAAGGAGGAAGAGGGTGCCACCTCGGGGACATGTGCCATCACCACCTCGTCTGGGTGCTTGTCACAGACCAGGTGCCATGAGCTCCGGGCATGGAGCACCTACCTGGAGAAGAGGCCTGGTAAATGATCTCATTCCCATGCTTCTCAGGAATAACCGTGTGGCACACACACAAAAGGGTCAGGAATTCCTTTATGTATTTTTCTGTGGGCTAGAAAACAAGGTAGAGGCTAGGGGCTACATTCCACGGCAGTGTCAAGAGACCAGGCACACAGAGCCGAGTACCAGATGGAAACCACATGTTCAATGTGGGTTTGTGCGGTGACCACCCAGACAGGGATGGGGCAGGGGCTGGGGTTGTTGTTAGGTGCCATCGAGTTAGTACCAACTCATAGCGACCTTATGCACAGCAGAATGAAACACTGCCTGATCCTGGGCCAACCTCACTATTGTTGCCAAGCTTGAGCCCATTGATGCTGCCACTTGGCCAATCCATCTCACTGGGGGTCTTCATCTTTTTCTCTGACCCTCCAAACATGATATCCTTCTCCAGCGACTGGTCCCTCCTGACAATATGTCCAAAGTATAAGAGATGAAGTTTCGCCATCCTGGCCTCCAACGAGGGGCTGGGAAGATGCCAGGAAATAAGACACCTCTGCTCCCCCAGGAATAGTTCATTCAACATTGTTGTTGTTATGTGCCTTCGAGTCAATTCTGACTCATAGTGACCCTGTATAGGGTTTCCTAGAAGCGGCTGATGAGCTTGAACGGCCGACCTTGCAGTCCAGAGCATTAACCCGCAGCGCCACACCAGGAACTTGGTGCCTTGTAATTATGGAAGTAGATCACCAGATCATTCACCCACAGAGCCACTGGTGGGGTCGACTGTGGAACAGAACATCAATTTCTCATAAGCAAGTTCAGGATGAAGCTAAAGAAAATGAAAACAAGTCCACAAGAGCCCAAATAGGACCCTGAACACACTCGTCACCCACCTGAATTGAGAGAGCATCTCAAAAAGAGATTTGATGCATGGGACACTGATGACCAAAGACCAAAAGAACTGTGGGAGCCACTGACCTTGGTGGGTGCCTTCGCATTGGTTCTGACTCACAGTGATAATATACAGGATTTCCAAGAGCGGCTGGTGGTTCTGAACCACCAACCTAGCAGTTAGCATTCCACTGCTTACCTGACAGTGCCAGGGCTCAAAGAGCAAATAGCAACAAAGTCTTTTCAACAGAACAACGGGGACTCTCTCTGCTCCTGAGCAAAGCAGAAGCCGCTTCAGCTATGGCTGTGACATGTTGTTCAGCCGGTGTTTGGTATCCATATGGAAACTGGGCTTGTCAACATTGTGCCACATCAAACATGCTGGACAGAGCAAGATTTGGTCTACAGAATTCCCAATATGCCTTTGACTGACCAATAAATAACATCATGATAAACGGAGTAAAGACTGAAGTTGTCAAAGACTTCATTTTTCTTGGTTCCACAATCAGCACTCATGGCAACAGCAGTTAAGAAAGCAAGTGACGTATTGCATGAGGCAGATCTGCTGCACAGACCTCTTTAGAGTGTTTGAGACCAAAGGTACCAGTGTAAGCACTAAGGTACGCCTGACCCAAGCCATGGTATTTTCCATAACCTCATATGCATATGAAAGTTGGACAGTGACTAAGAAAGACCATAAAAGAATTGATGCCTTTGAGTTATGGTGTTGGAGGAGAATATTAAAAGCACCATGGACTGCCAATAGAACAAGCACATCTGTACTGAAAGATGAGCAGCCAGAATACTCCTTAGAAACCTGGATGGACAGACTTTGTCTCTCACACTTTGGACATATTATCAGGAGGGATGAGTCACTGGAGAAAGACACCATGCTTGGTCAAACGGAGTTGTTGTTGTCGTTAGGTGCCATCGAGTCAGGACCGACCCATAGTGACCTTATGCACAGCAGCATGAAACACTCTTTGATCCTGGGCCAACCTCACTGTTGTTGCCACACTTGAGTCCATCGATGCTGCCACTCTGCCAATCCATCTCGCTGGGGGGTCTTCCTCTTTTTCTCTCCCCAATGAAATGGGTTGACACAGTGAAAGAAAAAATGGGCTTAAGAGTAACAACAATTGTGAAGCTGGCCCAGGACTGGGCAGTGTTTCGTTGTGTTGTGCAGAGGGTCGCTATGAGTACAAACCAACAGCACCTAACAACAACACACAGGAGACCCGGGTTTGATTTCCGGTCAGTGCCACTACCAGCCATCTGTCAGTGGAGACCCATTTGTTGCTGGGACGCTGAACATGTTTCATTGGAGCTTCCAGACTAAGGGAGAAAGAAAGAAAGAAAAAAAGAAAGGCGTGCTTCTGAAAATCAGCCAATGGAAAGCCCATGGATCACAAGAGACCATTCCACCCAACCACGGGGGTGGGGCAGGACCGGGCAGCGTTCTAAATGTGGCAGCCATGAGGCAGGGGCCATCGAACACGTTTTGATTCATAGTGACCCTATGCACAACAGAACAAAACACTGCCCAGTACGGTGCTGTCCTCACAATTGTTTCACTGAAGCCCATCGCTGCTGCCACCGTACCAATCCATTTTGTGGGGTCTCCCTTTTTTTTCGCTGAACCCCCACTTTGCCAAGCATGATGTCCTTCTCCAGGGACTAGTCGCTCCTGATAATATGTCTGAGGTATGAGAGACAATGTCTTGCCATATTCAATTATAGGGAGCATTCTGGTTGTTCTCCTTCCAACCAAGATTTATTCGTTCACCTGGCAGTCCATGGTACTTTCAATATTCTCCTCCAACACCATAATTCAAATGCCTAGATTCTTCTACGGTCTTCCTTATTCATTGTCTAACTTTCACATGCATATGGGGCTACTGAGAATACCATGGTTTGGGTCAGGCGCACCTTAGCCCTCAAACTGACATCTTTGCTCTTGAACATTTTAAGAGGTCTTGTGCAACAGATTTTCCGAATGCAATTCATCATTTGCTTTCTTGGATGCTGCTTCCATGAATGCAGATTTTGAATCCAAGCAAAATGCAGTCTTTGACAATTTCAATCTTTACTCCATTTATCATGACGTTATTTACTGGCCCAGTTGTGAAGATCTTTGTTTTTTATATTGAGGTGCAATTCATGCTGAAGGCTGTGATCTTTTATCTTCATTAGTAAATATTTAAAGTCCTCTTCACTTCAAGGAAGCAAGGTTGTATCACCTGCATTTCACAGGTTATTAAAGTCTTCCTCCAATCCTGATGCCACGTTCTTCTTCATATAAGCCCACTTCTCGTACTATTTGATAGAGATACAATTAAATGTTGGTGTTGTTAAGTGCTGTTGAGTCGGTTCTGACTTACAGTGACCCTGTCTGTATAGGGTTTCCAAGGAGCAGTTGGTGGGTTTGAGTTGCAAACTTTGTGGTTAGCAGTCCATTGCTTTTCCTATAGTGCCACACTAGGGCTCCAGTTGAATAAGTATGGTGAAAGAATACAACCCTGGCATGTACACTTCCTGATTTTAAACCACTCAGTGTCCCCTTGTTCTGTTTGAAAAATTTACTCTGGTTTTCAGGTTCCTCTTAAGCACAATTAAATGTTCTGGAATGTCCATTCTTCACAGTGTCATCTATAGCTTGTCATGAGCCAGTCAAAAGCCTTTGCCCAGCCAATAAAGCACAAGTAAACAGCTTTCTTGTATTCTTTGATGTCAGCTAAGACCCATTTGATGACAGTAATGACATTCCTACTTCTAGGTCCTCTTCTGAATCCTGCTTGAATTTCTGACAGTTCTCTGTGGATGTACTGTTGCAACCGTTTTTGAATTAAGGTCCTATTTTGGCTCTCATGGACTTTTACATTTTTTCTCCAGCTTCAGCCTGAGCTGACATATGAGCAATTGATGGTCTGTCCACAGTCTGCCACTGGCCTTGTTTTGGCTGATGACGCAGAGCTTTGTCACCATCTCTGTCCACAGAAGAAGTCAATTTGATTCCTGTATATTCCATCTGGTGAGGTCCATGTGTATAGTTGACTTTTATGTTGTTTCAAAAAGGTATTTGCGATGAATAAGTCTTTTGTCTTGCAAAAGTCTATCATGTGATCTCCAGCATCATTTTTATCACCATAGTTTCCAACTACTGATCCTTCCTGTTTGTTTGCATTCCAACCACCTGTAACTATCAATACATCTTGATTGCATGTTTGATTGATTTCAGACTGAAGAAAGTGGTCGAACTCTTTAATTTCATCCTCACTGGCTTTAGTGGTTGGTGCATAAATTTAAAAACTAATTGGTCTTCCTTGTAGGCGTATGTATATTATCCTACCACAGACAGCGTTGCACGTCAAGATTAATCTCGAAATGTTCTTTTTTAATAATGAATATGAAACCATTCCTCTTGAATCTGTTGTTCTTGGCATAGTAAACCATGTGATGGTCAGATTCAAAGTGGCCAGTAATAGTCCGTTTCCGTTCATTAATGCCTACGACAATCGACGTTTATGCGTTCCATTTCATTTTTGACAATTTCTAATTTTCCTGGATTCATACTTCGTACTTCCCGTGTTCTGATTATTAATGGGTGTTTGCAGCTGTTTCTCCTCAGCCTGAAGCTCCCAGATCCTACTTGCCTCAGTCATCATGCTCAACTCTACTTTGAGGCGGCAGCTCTTCCCCAGTCGTATTTTGAGTGTCTTCCAACCTGAGGGGCTCATCTTCCAGCACTACATCTGACAACATTCTGATGCCATTCATAATGTGTTCATCTCCCGGCACTGTATCGGACAATGTTGCACTGCTCTTCATAAGGTTTCAGTGGCTAAACATTCAGAAGTAGTCTAGAAGCACCACTGAAACCTGTCCACCATGGGTGACCCTGTTGGTATTTGAAATAGCAGTGGCATAGCTTCCAGAATCGCAGCAACTCACACACCACCACAGAACGACAGGCTGACAGACAAGAGGTAGAGGGACATACCTAGAAAAAGAGCTGGGGATGGAGTGTGCCCTTTACGCCTGGGTCTCTTCACTGTGAAGCAACTAATCCAAGGAGAGATGTATGCCAAGACACATGTGCAAGGCATGCTGGGCCTACAGATTCTGGAGGAGAAAAGGACCTTTCCCGAGAGCCGACAGAAAGGAAAAACTTCCCTTGGATTCAGAGCCCTGAATCCGGGCTTCTAGTTACATAAACTATGAGAGAGAAAAAATTCTGTTTGTTAAAACCATCCACTTGTGGTATTTCTGTTGCAACAGCACTGGACTGCTAGCCACAAGGTCGGCAGTTCAAACCCACCAGCTGCTCCTCGGAAACCCTATACAGGATCACTATGAGTTGGAACAGATTGGATGGCACTTAACAACAATCAACACCAGAGATTGCTACATATTAAATCTCTCTTGTATAATGTTAAAATTCACCCATGCTAATAAGCTCAGGACTCAGTTCATGACATCATTGTAATGTCCCTTGCTTGTTGGGTGAACATCAAAAATTTTGCAAGTCCCTCTTTCTTTCCTGGACTCAGGAAATTATAGCTTTTGGGAAAGCCAGAGACATGTTTACAGATATCAGCAGGACCCTGTCACCTCCTAATGGCAACAGCAGACTTACATGCCCGTTCTTGAAGTTCCTCAACAATGTGGGGTCGTTAAATTCACACTGATCTGTGACACATGATGAGGACTCCCTAGGAAGAAGAAGAAAGATGATTTTTAAACAAGAAGTGCCTGAAGATAACCGTTGATGACAATAAGAGTCTATAGAAAACACAAAGCCCAGTCTTCTGCTTTGGATAAGGCCCAATCACATCTACAAGCCCACAGAAGTACGGGCAGCCCCCAGTTACAAACAAGATCCATTCCTAAGTGTGCCTTGAAGTCAAATTAGCCCGCAGTGATTGGATCAATGATTTCAAAGTGAGGGCAGATTTCTAGAACATTAAAGGGCACTTGGGGCTGTTCATAAGGAGCTTTGGTAGCTTAGTGGATTACAAGCTGGGCTGCTAACCATAAGGTCAGTAGTTTGAATCTACCAGCTTGAGTCCGTTGATGCTGCCACTTGGCCAATCCATCTCGTTGGGGGTCGTCCTCTTTTTCTATGACCCTCCACCTTACCAAACATGAGATCCTTCTCCAGTGACTGGTCCTTCCTGACAATATGTCCAAAGTATGAGAGACGAAGTTTGGCCATCCTGGCCTCCAAGGAGCAGTCTGGCTGCACTTCTTCCAACACAGATCTGTTTGTTCTTTTGGCAGCCCATGGCACTTTCAATATTCCCCTCCAACACCATAACTCAAGTATTCAAAATTTAAGTAAAATGTGAAATAAGTAAAAGTTGTTTGGTTTGTTGGGGCAATAAGCACATTTCCAAGAGTTTGGCACTGGGAACACTCACCCATAAATGATACCTGCAATGGTGCACTTCTTAAATGTCATGATGTTGCAGGTGAGGGTCCCCGTTTTATCAGAAAACAAGTATTTCACCTAGGCAAAGGAAAAATGAACCTGATAAAGCCTGTGATTTTTGAGTGTATTTATAGAACAAAGACAACAAGATGAAGCTCTTTCTCTTCGTGTTGATGTTAGGGGCCGTTGAGGTGGTTTAGACGCATAAAGACCCTGCGCACAACAGAACGAAACATCACCTTGTCCTTCACCGTCCTCACTATTGCTGTCTGAGCCCCTTGCTGCTGCCACCGTGCCAATCCATCTCGTTGGGGGTCTTCCTCTTTTTCTCTGACCCTCCATTTTACCAAGCATGAAGTCCTCCTCCACGGGCAGGTCCCTCCTAACAACATGCCCAAAGTAGGTTCCATGAAGTCTTGCCGTCCTGGTATCTATGAAGCATTCTGATTGTACTTCTTCCAGCAAAGATTTGCTCATTCTTTTCTTTAAAAATTCAAAACATGTGAATTTTCAAAAACCAAGGAGCTAAGTCTGTAAGAATCAGATCATTAATATTTAGACTTTTTCCAAGGTTTATTCCCTCTTCTTCTGATTTTTTCTTTCTCTTTTCACACCAGAGGATAACCTATATGTTGGTATACAAATGAAGTCTAAGCCACCTCAGATGGCTGGGAGGTCAAGGTTATATTTCTGTCACAATAAATTTCATCAAAAGCAAGTCACACTGGTATAGCTCTGAAATGCTCTTAAGAACTGTCCTATAATTATAGCAAAAATTAATTTCTAAAATTCATTAAGAATGTCTATGTGCATTTATGATTACTTATATACATATATATTATATGTATGTATGTATGTATATACACTCTTAAGTTGATGTTAACTGCCATGGAGTCAGTTCTGACTCAGAGTGACCCTGTATAGGGTTTCCAAGGAGCGACTGGTGAGTTTGAACCACCAACCTTGCAGTCAAGTGCTTATCCTACTGAGCCACGCCAGGACTCCATATACTAAAGGGTTCAAAAAGTTGGTGGTAAATGTAATTAAACGACGACGAATTTATCCCCACATACTTCTGAAGTCCCCTCGTGTATCACATGAAGAGGAAACTCACCCTGAAGGTCATTTAAAACCTGGTCACAGCTGATTTCTAAAGGGAGCCTGGAGATTCTGTAGGTGACTACGAAGCAACATGGGGTCAAATCCTTCTCAGGATGGCTTTGTAGTGTTGGGGTGTGGGTGGTGTGCTGTGGAGTCGGTTCCGACCCATAGCGACCGTGTATAGGGTTTCTGGAGCTGTAAATCTACGGGAGTAGAAAGCCTCATCTATGGATCAGCAGGTGAGTTCAAACTGTTGAACTTGCAGTTAACAGCATGCCATGTGGCCCACTACATCACCGCAGCTTCTGGTAGTCTTGGGCAGGAAGGGAGATACACTGATTAATCTTAGGTTTTGTTCAGTCAAAACTAAATCCACTGCCATGGACTCAAACTCCAGCTCCTAGCCACTGTGTACTACAGAGAAGGGATTCCAAGGCCAGATGGTTCTCCTATGGAGTGGCTGGTGGATTTGAACCTCTGACCATTGGTTAACCTCTGCTCCACCAGTACTCCTGTTAACTCAAGTAACCCAAAGCAAAGAAACAAATATAAATAAAATAAAGTGGGGAAACATTCAGGTCTATAAGATATATTAAATTTGAACAGTCTGAATTTAGCCCAGTAAAAGGCAGATAGGAAGGTAAGCAAAAAACTACTGCTACAAAATCAGAGAAAACATTATTAAATAGATACATCAAAATGCAAAACTACTGTTTCTCGACATGCCCTCAGTCTAGCTCTATAGCTTTCTGAGGGCGCTGTTTCCCTCGCTCCAAGCCCAGAGCAGTCTGTGCTCTTGGATCGGCACCACATCCAAACAGCAGCTTTTGGCATCCCCGAGGACAGCAAATCACGTTCTTTTCAATGTTCGGTGAGCTCGGGGCAGGGGGTGGGGTGGGGGTGGGAGGCTGTCGGATGAGCTCACCCTGCTGCCCTTGAAGAATGAGCGAGTGTGTCAGTGTGTCGTTGTGGTGGAACAAAGAAAGGGCCTCAGTACAACTTCCCTGGTGTTTTTCTCACAGATGCAGTTTTCTATTGTCTTAAATGTCTGCCTAAGAAGTGCCCCTGTGCTTGTCCTGTGGCCTTTGAAGAAATCAACGAAGATGTCCCCTTTGGGACTCCAAACAATTGCAGTTGTCATTAGAGGGACTCCATCTGGGGGCTCCTCGTGTGGTGCTGTAGGATCAGCACTTCCCTGCTAGCCACACGGTTGGCAGTTCAAACCCATCAGCCGCTCTGTGGAAACCCTACGCAGGTCACTATGAGGCAGAATTGACAGGACGGCACTTTGAACAACAGCGTAACCTTCTGACCTGACCTCTCAGCCTTGGCTTGACCTGACCCAACATCTCTCCTCAGAAGGCAATTTTGACTGGACCACCTTTTTTAAGGCATCCTAGCTCTGAACTGCTAACCAAAAGGTCGACTTCTCAAACGCCTTACACAGAGTTGATTTGAGAGGGAACCGACTCAATGGCACTTAACAACAAGACTAGAGGAGTTCTGGTGTGGCGCTGTAGGATAAACATTGGACCGCTAAGCGCAAGGTCAGCACATCAAGCCCACCAGGCACTCCTGTAAAACCCTATACAGGGTCACTGTGAGTTGGAACAAACTCAAGAACACTTAACAACAAGACTAACACAAGTGCTTACTGAGAGTTTTGTCTGTAGCCATTCATCAGTCACAGAAACATGTTTAAACAGGTCTTGTTTGGCATAAACCCATGCGTGTGTCTATACTGTATACATACACAGACACACACACACACACACACATAAAATACACATTTGAGCAATCTGATAAAAAGTGAAAATCAATGATACAAGAGAGTCAGTGAAAACAAAAGGTAACAAGAAAAGCCAAAGAGATGTGAGGCAAGCAAATGCTTTAGGTCAGAGAGCAATACAAGTTAAAGAACACTGTTCAGTTCTGATGAAAGACAAAGTTTATGAGAACAGTACTGTAAGAATCCCTATGAGCCCCCGAAATGAGGACATTCACAAATCAAAGGGAACATGATAAAAATAAATAATACTTAGAGAACTCAGAACATTTTTTTCAGAACTGAACAGATACGAATAAAAAAAAGGACAAGACACTGGAAACTACAACACTTGATTTACCAGCTCTGGAGTCTTATTTTCACTTTCAGGTTTTCTTATTTAATAATTAATGCATTTGTGATCCATTGTTGTCTTCAGTACACAGCTTTGTCTGAATCCCCCACAGCGATCAATGAAAGAATAGGGTTAATAGGGTAATAGGTTATACGTGCACTGGTAGGGACACTTGTTGTTGTTGTTGTTGTTAAGTGCCATCGAGTCGGTTCCGACCCATAGCGACCCTGTACAGGGTTTCCGAGGGTGTAAATCTTTACGGGAGTAGAAAGCCTCATCTTTCTCCCGCAGAGCGGCTGGTAGTTTCGAACCGCTGACCTTAAGGTTCGCAGCCCGATTCATAACCACTACGCTACCAGAGCTCCTTTGGTAGGGACACTACGAGAAAGAAAATAGAACAAGGAATCAAAGGAGGAAAGATTAGCATGAAAGGAATACGGGCACTTAGGAAACCGAATCCCCTGCCATCGAGTCCCTTCCAACTCATAGCTACCCGAGAGGGCAAAGCAGAACCACTCCAAATAGTCAGGAGGTAAAACGAATACAAGTCTTCCCATCACACAAACAACATGACTTAACACTGCAATCGAAAGGTTTCCTTTCTCTAGAGGACTGGAGGAAAAGCAAAATCCATCTATCTGGTGTGGTACCATAGACTGGACTGCTAATCACAAGTCCAGCAGTTCAAACCCACCAGGCACTCCTTAGAAACCCTAGACAGGGTTGCTATGAGTTGGAACCAACTCGACGGCACTTCACAACAAGGAAACCCTACACAGGGTCGCTACGAATCAGGATCAATTCAACAGCAGTGGGTTTAATGCCATGTCCAAAGTTAGTCCGAGTATGTCCATCCCCGCTTCTAAGGAACATTCCGACTGCAATTCTTCTGTGATTTATTTGTTTGCTCTCCTGGTGGTGGTGGTGAAGTGCCATTGAGTCGGTTCTGACTCAGAGTGACTGTATACGGTTTCTAAGGCGCATCTGGTGAGTCTGAACCACCGACCTTGTTGTTCAAAGCACCCTTGTGGTCCAGTGCTTTACCCCACAGTGCCACCCAGGACTCTCCACCAACACCACACTTCAAATGCACCAAATCTCCTTCTGTCTTCATTTTTCATCGTCCAGCTCTCAGATGCATATAAGGTGAAGGGAAAGACCCTGGTTAGGGTCAGGCGCACCTTACTCATCAAATTGACATCTTTCTTTTTTATAAACTTTGAAGAAGTCTCTTGCTGCTGATTTTTCTCGGGACAATATGGTTTTTAATTTCGTGATTGCTGCTTCCATGGATGTTGATTGTTGATCCAAGTAGACTGAAATCATTGACAACTTCAATTGCTTCTTCATTTATCATGATGCTGACTGTTCGTCTTGAACATTTAAACTTCCCTGAGGAACCACGACTTGCTTAAGAGGCTGACAACAATTCAGAAACCTAAGAACACAGTCTGTGGGCAAGGCTGTCAGGAGCCGGACACACCACTCTCCGAAGGCCGCTGGGGGTAGAACTCAGCCCTGAATACCCTGTGCACATACCCTTTGATTCAGCCATGCCGGTGACCCTGAAAACACACCTCTGCTTCACAAGACCTCTTTAAAGTGTTGAAGAGCAAAGATGTCAGCTTGAGGACCAAGGTACGCCTGACCCAGGCCATAGTATTTTCAATAACCTCACATGCATGTGAAAGTTGGACAGTGAATAAGGAAGACTGTAGATGAACTGATGTGTTTGAGTTATGGTGTTGGAGGAGAATATTGAAAGTACCACGGACTGCCAGAAGAACCAACAGATCTGTGTTTGGAAGAAGTGCAGCCAGAGCGCTCCTTAGAAGCCAGGATGGCCAGACTTGATCTCTCGTACTTTGGACATGTTGTCAATAGGAACCAGTCCCTGGAGAAGGACATCATGCTTGGTAAAGTGGAGGGTCAATGACAAAGAGGAAGACCCCCAATAAGACGGATTGACACACTGGTAGACGTAATGGGCTCAAGTGCAGCATCGATTATAAGACTGGTGTAGGACCAAGCAGTGTTTCGTTCTGTTATGAATGGGGTTACTAAGAGTCGGTACTGACTCGATGGCACCTCACAACAACAATAATAATCAACAATGAGTCGGAACCTAACAACAAGAGCAGCGAAGAATGAAGTGTCTTATAAAACTTACCAAGAAGACAGTAAACAGCATCTAAATTGCCCTTAGCTGCTGTTTGGTCTCGACTCATGGAGACCCCGTGCACAGTGAAGTGAAACATTCCCGCCCCCACCGTACAGTTGTGACCTGTAGTGCTCCCACTGGCTGATCTGAGAAAACAGACTGGCAGGGCGTTCTTTCTAGTCTGTCTTAGTTTGGAAGCTCCGCTGAAACCCGTTCAACATCAGAGCCACACGCAAGCGTCTGCTGATAGTGGGATGGTGGCTGTGTGGGGGACACACTCGCCAGGAATCAAACTTGGATCTCCTGCGTGGAGGGAGAGAATTCTACTGCTCCTCCTCTGTGACCCCCCAAGATTTACACAGCAGGTTTTAATTCTCGCTTCTGATGTTATACTGAATCAGGGCACACAATGCAGGCAGCAGTACGAGGGTTCGTGCAAACAGCTGCTGTGTGAGAGGTCTGAGTTCACCCAGAGTGCTGCGGAAGAAAGGCCTGGTGATCTCCACTGAAGACCCTGCAGAGCCCAGTTCTGCTCTGATACACTCGGCATCACCATGAGTCGGCACCAATCCAAGGACACTGGTCTCTGGTTAAAGAAGCCGGGCATTGCTATTTCGCTCCAGAGCGTGTGCGCAGATGCTAAGGTTGGGCACCAGATTCTGGAGGCTTCCCTGTGAGACACTGGCCTCTGGGAGCAGAGGGGTTCCTATTGTCCCCCCTGGTTCTGGGAGAGCAATGAATGACGTACTGAGACGCTTTCTCTCCCGTCCTCCTCCGACTCTCTGCTCAAAATCCCATGACGCTGTGGTACCAATATTATGAACAAACACACCCTTCCACCTCCACCTGGCTCCACACGTGCACCTGTCGTCGATGGCCTGTGCCCGACTATGACACCTTAATTCACCGACACACCTCCTACCATCCTCCCTCAGAGCTCACGTCCTCAAAGCCTCATCCTGAAAGCGGCTCTCACCTGCCCCAGCTCTTCATTGAGGTTTGACGTTCTGGCCACAGCATAGAGATTGTTTCCTTTAAAGTGCATATCTTCGTCCTGCAAGAAACCAAAAGAGAGTCTAAGGCACAGAGCTCAAAGCTTCTTTGGGAAGTCCACGCCACGTCTCATCATCCGGGAAGACTTGGCTTCCGGCTCCCAACTCTGTCCCAGACACACTGTGTGACTCAGAGTAAGTGAATGAATGTCTCTGAGGCTCAGCTCGCACACCTGTGAAACAGGAGGAAGAGCCAGATCTCACAGCCTGTGCGTGGAAATTAGAAGAGAACGCACTCAACTACGCTTCCTCACACATCCCGGCCATTAAAACAGGAGCCCCTTGAAAGACCAACGATGGTCTTTCAAAGACATAAGCAAAGGATATGCTGTGCTTAATAAGTGCCATTAGTAATAACTTTATTCCAAAGAAAATGTTTTAAAATGCAGGCAGCCACTGAGTTCCACTCCCAAGTCTTATTTTTAAGTCAATGAGAAGTCAGAGAAGTTAGGTACAAACAATTAGGTAAATGTTTGCCTAGTATATAGTGTACTTCTCCATGCATAAGAAACATTAAGGAAACATTTCCAGACACACCAAAACATCTCTAACATGACAATACAGTAATAATAATAATATTTATGAAGAGTAATAATGAAGCTGCCAAACACCACAGAACACGGAGGAACCTGAAGGACATTACGCTGAACGTAGTCAGTCGTGAACGGACAGGTATTGTGTGAAACCACTACAGTAAACCGTCAAGAAAAGTTTTCATTCTGTAATAAACATTCTATGATGGTTACCAGGGGGGAGGAACGGAAACTTATTCATTGAGTAGAGTGTTGCTGTTGTTGTTAAGGACCCTTGAGTTGCTTCCAACTCATAGTGAGTCTGTATAGGGTTTCCAAGGAACAGTTGGTGGGTTTGAACTGCCGACCTTGCAGTTAGCAGTGTGTAGACTTGGGTGATGGGGGCAAGGCAGTTAAAAAGAAAAGGATGGAAAAAAAGAAAAAAATGAAATTGTTTTCTTAAAAATGATAATAATAACAATGTTTAGGCATACGCTGCAAAGCACTCACTGCCTGTTTGTCTTTGTGAACTGGCGATGTGCCTGGAACTTTGAAGACCCTCAGCTTTACAGGGGTTGGTTCTTAACGACGGGTTGCATGGAAGTCACATGTTTGCAACCCTCGGACTTGCATCCCCACATTCCAATTGAAACATTCTGTGCTAAGCTTGCTGGGTATTAACTACAATCAGTGCAAGGTTGGCACTTTCAAAGTCTTGTCTTGAATTTGAGTGATTCTGGCATAAATAACTAGGGGTCTCTCATCTTGCTGAGCATGTTGCCCGCAAGATGTCAGAGCCCCTGAGCAAGCCTACTGGAGCTTCCTCCTCTCCTGGGCTCGCTTTCTCCTGAAAGTGATCAGGAAACCACTGTCTCTTAGATCTTCCTTAGCAGCCAAAATGAAACCTGAAGAGACCGTGTCCTCAGAGAGAGCAGGAGAGGCCCAAGCGAGCATCAGCTTAACGCCAGCGCTTGGCTTCACTGTGGAGAGTGCCAGGGGTCAGTCAGGGGCACTGGCCCCGTCATAAAAACCAAACCAGTTGCATTAGACTCAATTCCAAGTCCTGGCGACCCTGAATTATTCCAATAAGGTTTCCAAGGTTGTCAACTTCAGAAGCAGATCACCATGGCTCTCTCCTGAGGATCTTTTGGGTGGGTTCGAACTGCCAACCTTTGGGTTGATAGTTGAGTGCTTCCCCATATGCAGAGCCTGGAGGCTCCTCTCAAACACGATAACTGGCACAGGACCAGGGGATGTTTCACGAATGAGAACCATTGGAACCAACTGACAACCATTGGCAACTGACAACATGTGACCCTGAAAAGGATTCACAGAAAGGAAACAAAAGCTGGAGCTTGAGAGAGAATGTTTGTAGCTGTTCGACTGTGATACTCACCCAGTTTATAAACAGGCCCTGGATATACTTCACAATTTCAAGAGTCACCAGCAGGCTGATGGGAATGAGGTTGTGATACAAGATGATGAACATCAGCAGGTCAAACCCAAAGTTGTTGTAGGTAAAATCTGTGGATGAAAATTAGAGGACTCACTCAGATCACAGCTTTTCATGCATTGTCTTGTTCCAAAGCTTGGGAATTTCACCATGAAAATGACTACCAGAAATAGGGCTGATGATGTTGTTGTTAGGAGCAGGGTAGGCAGATTTCAACTTAGAGTAACTCCATGTGACAGGGTTAGAACTGTGCCTACACAGGGCTTTGTAAACCAGCATGTTCACAGTGAGGATGGTGAGATCTCATCTCCCTTACTTTGGGCGTGTTCTCACGAGGGACCTGAGAAGGACATCATTCTTGCTGGAGCAGAATCCACTGCTGGTAAACCGATTTCAACTTGGCAAAACAGAGGAAACGCCTCAAAAAGAGGGACCGACAGAGCGGCTCCAACAATGGACTTGCCGCACAGCAACAGTGAGGAGAATGGAGCAAGACAAGGCAGGATTTCCCTCTGCCGCACTCTTCGCAGGAAAGGACTCTACACCACCAGGAACAACAGTCTTTATGGGAGCAGATCTCCAGGTCTTTCTCCTTCAGAGCAGCTGGGGGAGGGGGGAGGTTTGAACCACCAACCTTTCGGTTACCAGCTGAGCTCTTAACCATTGAGCCACTAAACCAGAAAGGAGCCACCCCACCGCCCTTGAGTTGGTTTCCATGCTTCAGCCCTAGAGGGCAGAGTAGAGGTACTCCCCAGGGTAAATCTTTATGAAAGCAGACACTCTCGTTCATCTCCTATAGAGGGGCTGGTGGGTTTGAACCACTGACCTTGTAGTTAGCAGACCAACGCTTAACACACTGTGCCACACACACAAACCATTGCCCTCAAGTCAATTTCAGCTCACAATGACTCTTTATAGGATTTCCAAGGCTGTACGCCTTTGCCATCCTGGTGTGGTGTTTTAGGAAAAGTACAGAAACTCATCCCAAGATCATGACTGGAGGCAGTTCAATCCATCACTGTTGAAGGCAGACTACAGAAGACGGGAAAGGACCATGACTGGGATGCATACATCATTGCGGATTTAAAAACAATCTTGCAGATTTGGTTCTGGACTACCATCCAAAAGGTCACTGGTTCAAATCCACCAGTTGCACCTTAGAAACTGTACACAGGATCGCTATGATTCTGAACCCACTCAACAGCACTTAACAACAACAACAACAACAAATCGTTATAGAGAATACAAGAAATGTCCTCTTCTGAATCCAGCTTCCGTTTCTGGAAGCTCCCTGTCGATGTACTGTGGCAGCCATTTTTAAATGATTTTCAGCAAAATTTCGCTTTCATATGATGTCAATGATATTGTTCCATGATTTACACATTCCTTTTTATCACCTCTCTTTGGAATGGGCACAAATATGAAATCACTGCCAATCAGTTGGCCAGGGAGCTGTCTTCCAAATTTCTTGGCATAGATGAGTGAGCGCCTCCAGGGCTGCATCAGTTTGTTGAAAGATTTCCATTGATAATCAATTCGTCAATTCCTGGAGCCTTGTTCTTCACTAATACCTTCGCTGCAGCTTGGACTTCTACCTGCAGTACCTCCGTACTTGATCAGATGCCACCTTTTGATGTGAAAACCGGATGCTACTGGAACCATATGTCAAAGTTTCCAGGAAAGAAGCGCTCAGGAATTTGTAAGGTACGTCCCAGCCATGTGGTAGAAGCAGCCCACCTGGCCCACTGTGGTGGCCTTAAAAACACCCTCAGTGATACTGAAGTGCATGGTGGGCACAACCCCACTCAAGCCAAGTCCCAAGGACACTCCTGCTCTGGTCTGCCGATGCCACTGTGACACAATGATGGCAGAAATGCCCAGGACACAGATGATGGAGAGGTAGATGAACCGCGGCTGTGGGGAGCAGTGGAAGGAGTCAAAGAGCCAGGGGACAAAGCGCCCCATGATCAGTAGAGTGATTCCTGAGTAGTCCAGTTTGGAAAAAGTCCGAGAGACTTTCTCTGAATGATAATAGGCCCCTGGTGTGGAAGAGCCAGAAGAAGCTGAGGCCAAGCTCTGCAACCAGAAAGCGCATCCCCCAAAACCACCTTCTCACTTAGACATATTTGGTCTAAGTATGGTCTCGATTCCCAAGAAGAGAAACAGCACAAAACCAAGCAGATGGGTCCAGATATTGCCAGTTTCTGTATGGATGCAAAAGATGCTCTTAAAGCAAGCTCAAAAGGAGGGCATGGGTGGTCTGTGGCCATGCAGCGGATAGTCATTTTTCCTTCAGCCAGCCAGGGAGAACATCATATGGGATGACTCTCCAACATCCCTCCCAGACCTTATATAAAAATTCCTCCATCTTCTTCATAGTGTGGTGGGCTTGCAAGGGAAGCGTCAGGACCCCCACCTCCTCCTCATCTTCCTGGGGCATTGGACATGTTTCCTCCTCTTCAGTTTGGGTTAGATTGGCGATTGCCCATTTGCCCTTCTCTTCTAGCAAGGGACCCAGTTCAGACAGTTCCACCATGTCGGTTTTCCTGTTGCTGGCAGGTGCCCTATTGCCCTATGCCACCATGGATCGTTTGTGGGAAGACATCTAGCTGGTGTCTCAATACCCAACAGCTTCAGTTTGGGGAAACATGGGGACCTCTCAGCCCTGGAGAAGTGAGGGCAGAGAGCTCCCTGTGGTGGTAAACAGGCCGCTCAGGTGGGCAGGTTCTGGTGGAGCTACGGTCCTGCTTGCTACATCCCACAGCTCTGGAGGCAGCCTGTGGCTGAGTGGACTGGGATCTTCAGCGCCCACCCCCTTTCATCATCTTTTGATGCTTTCTGCATCATTCAATATTTTGAGCACAGAATCCTTCAATATTGCAAGTCAAGGCTTGAAATTTTTCTTCAGTTCCCTCAGCTTGAGAAATGATGAGTGAGTTCTTCCCTTTTGGTTTTGTAACTCCAGGTCTTTGTACATATCATTACAATACCTGATTTTATCTTCTCGAACTGCCCTTTGAAATTCTCTGTTCAGCTCTTTTACTTCCTCATTTCTTCCTTTTGCTTTAGCATCTCTACACTGGAAAGCAAGTTTCAGAGTCTCATCTGACATTCCATTTAGGTTTTTCTTTCTTTCCTGTCTTTTTCATAACCTTTGCTTTCTTCCTGTGTGATGTTCTATAGGTCATTCCACAGCTCTTCTGGTCTTGGGTCACTGGTGTTTAATGCATCAAATCTATTCTTGAAATGGTCTCTAAAATTCAGGTGAGATATGTTCTAGGTCATTTTTTGTCTTTTGTGAACTTGTTCTAATTTTCTTCCGCTTCAGTCTGAACTTGCATATGAGCAACTGATGGTCTGTTCCACAATCTGCCCCTTGCCTTGTTTTGGCTGATGATACGGAACTTTTCCACCATCTCTTCCCACAGATGTAATCAATTAGGTTCCTGTGTATTCCATCTGGTGAACTCCATGTGCCTTTTATGATGTTTAAAAAAGGTATTTGTAATGAAGTATTGGTCTTGCAAATTTCTATCGTGAGCTCTCTAGTATGATTTCTATCAACAAGGCCATATTTTTCAGCTACTGATCCTTCCTGTTTGTTTCTCATCTTCACATTCTAATCACCAGTAATTACTAATACATCTTGATTATATGTTTCTGACAGAAGAAGTTGGCAGAATTCCTCAATATTATCATCAGTGGGTGAGCCTGCTGGTGTTTAAAATACCAGTGACATCGCTTCCAGCATCACAGCAACACACAAGCCACCAACAGAGTGGTCGCACATGAACATAGACCCAAAAATTCTCAACAAAATTATAGCCAATAGAATCCAATAGCATATCAAAGAAATCATACATAGTGGGGTTCATACCAAGTATCTTTGCATCCAACATTAGGAAAATGGTCAATGTAATCTACCATATATATTAATAAAAGGAAAAGAACCATGTGATCACATCAAGCAATGCAGAAAAGTCCTTTGAGAAAATCCAACACCCATTCTTGACAAAATGTTCAGTTAAATAGGAGTAGAGGGTAAGTTCCTCCACATAATTAAGGGCATGTTCACAAACCAATGGCCAGCTTTAATTTTTATGCAGACTGAGACAGTTCCTTGCAAACAGGAACCAGACAAGGATGCCTTTTATTACCACTTCTATTCAGTACTGAAATGGAAGTCAGAACCAGACCAAATAGGCAAGAAATGTAATTTATATATGGCATTCAAATTGGCATAGAAATAAAAGTATTACATTTGCATTCTAGATGATATGACCCAATACATAGAAAATCCTAGAGATTCAACTAGAAAGCTACTAAAACCAATAGTGGGTACAAGATCAACTTTCAAAAATCTGTTGGATTTCTTGACTTACTGGTCTCTCTTCATCCAGAGCAAACAAAAGGGAAAAAAAATCAAAGCTGAAAGGAAACAATTAATCAAAAAGACTAATGGACCATGTAAACCCAGCCTCCATCACCCTGAAACCAGAAGAACTACATGCTGCCCGACTACCTGCTCACTGCTCTGAAAGCGAATGCAGTCAGAGGTCCTGGATAAAGTGAGAAAATATGTAGGACAGAACTCATAGCTATAAAACTAGCAAGCTTACTGGTCTGACAGAGGCTGGTGGAACTTCTAAGACTGTGGCTTTGAACTGAACTCAACTTCATAGCTCAACTTTCAGTCAAATAGACAGGTGAACAATAGAAGGTACATACTCCTTACAACAATTAACCATACAAGAGCAAAAGGGCTAAGGCTCAGAGGCAGGAAAGGATAGGAAAGAAGGACGAATGGAAAACAGGGAAACACCGGGAGGAAGTGGACGAGAGCTGTCACATTATGGGGATTACAGGGAGACACAAAGTGAATAAGAATGAACTGCTGAGGACCGACTGTGAGGTTGGAAATGTAAAGGTAGACGTTTTGTAACAAAAGGAAGGGAGGGGCTGATTTTGCAGTCCAGGAACAGAGGACCCTAGGACCATCAAGGGAGAAGAGCAGAGTGTGGGACCCTACCAGAGAAGCAGTGACACCAGAGATGGAGGAAGAGACGATGCC